GTGCTTTATTATGTTCCACAGCTATTAAACAACTGGTTAAAATAAAATAGAAACTGCATTGCATCCACAGGCTACCAATTCAGAGAGTATCCAAGAATGTACCCAAGCATAATGAGTTCCCAATAGGATTTCTGCTATTTATTTGTTTTTAAACAGCAGCTCCCATAACCACCCCTAGCTTAAACTGAATACTATTTCTAGAATTCCTGTGTTTCCAAAGTGGCTTAGTATGCTATTCAGGAAGGTATTGGTATGAAAAAAAGGAGTTCATTGGTGATGTAGTCTTAATTCTCCAGCACTGGCTCTGTCTTTGAATTAAGCCTTCCATGCTACATTTATGTGGTCCTACTTATTGACTTGTTGCCATCGGTGGGTTGTTGTGTCATGCAAATGGAGGCTGCTTCATCAAGGGGGACTTGGGCTAATCTAGGGATGTTGGCACTCATGGTGGCTGTCCTGTCGTCCAAACCTAGATGACAGAACTCACTGTGAATGAGTTCCAACAGTTAGGTGAGTGCTCCAGACAACAGCCTCCAAAATGCCTAAGTGGCACTTGGGGACTGCTGTCCGATGCTTTCCCCTACCCACATGGCATACAGTTTCCACCTTTGATGGCAAGTAAAGAGTAGACCTCTAAAGCCACTGACAAGGAGGGCCAGGATCTGCCCTTCTGGGTTCCCATGGCAAGGAGAATGAACATTCTTTTTGGCAGTTAGCAAGGTCTGCTCTTGAAAGCAGGAATGGATAGATGGGTGGTGCAAGCCAGTGATGTGCTCCACAGTTTTGACCTCTGCTCAGGGCAGCAATGCACAGCAGATTAGGTATCTATGCCTCTTGTCCAAAAGCATACCTTTTAGGTAAGAAGTGGGAGCTGGAGGACTGCTCAGTGGCACTGCCCTATCCTTGAAATGTCTGAGTGGATTGGGCATTCCTGCCTCCTGCCTGGAGTAGACCTCCTGCATAGAAGGCAAGAGCTCACTCGGTGGTTTTGCTCTGTGTTGAAGATCACAGTGCTGAACAGATCAGGCACCCCATTCTTCTGTTCACCTTGATGGGAGGTCTGAGTGCTTGATCATCTCCCCCTTCTCCCCCATTTTCACTGAACTTCAAGGAACAGCCCTGTTTGCACTATGGAGATAAAGAAGAATTTTTTCTCTTCCTCTTTGCCCACATAATGCAAACAGGGTTCCTACCCTGACGTTCAATGAGTTCAACTTCCAGCCTTCTCAGTGAGGCAATGCTCGTCAGCTGCAAGGGGGCAGGGGGTAGCCTACTGCATATTGGCCCCAGCTGAGGTTGGTATGGTGACTTTCTGGCAGCTATTGTAAGCTGAAATCAGCTTGCAATTAGGGTTGACACAGAGAGCAGAATGAGAGGGAAGGGGAAGGAGAGAGGGAGCTAAGTGCACATAATGTGCCTGATCCTCTGTCACACTCATCGTGGGTACTATGCAAAACAACCTAACCTACCTTGCAAGGCTGTATTGAGAATAAAATGGAGAGGAGGAAGATTATGTAAACCACCTTGGGTTCCTTCAGGGAAAAGAGGCAGAAAATAAAATAAATGAATAAAATCAATAATGGAATGCGCTCCCCAGAGAGGTCCGCCTGGCGCCGTCGTTATTTGTTTTTCGGCGCCAGGCTAAGACCTTTTTATTTAAAACTTATTTTAATTGCTAAATTATTGAATTAATTAGGATTTTAAAATTAGCAGAGAATGCACCAGGGGTTTTTAAATGTTTTTTCTTTTAAATTGTTATATTACTATTATTTATGTATGTTTTTATGTATTCTTTGTGAGCCGCCCCGAGCCTTTGTAGCGATGAGGGCGGCATAGAAATGTTTTAAATAAATATAAATAAATAAATAAATAAAATGTCTTTTGCTTACAGACAATACAATTCTTATTTTGTTGTTGCTATTATCATACTTTGGAGATCTTTTTTCAAGACAGAGTAACGTTTCAAGTTGGTACAGTCTAGAAAGAATAGAAAAATGATCCTGATAAGAATGTTAGGTAGTGTTTCCTGTAACAGCATCCAGTAGATGTCACTGCAAGCATTAGATTGGTTCCAGGCTTTCATTATCTCAGATACAAGTTTCATTTTAACAAAGAAATACACCTGGTCATTACCTTCTTTTGGCTTCTTCATACTGAAGACTCAGTCTGACCTTTTCAGCTAAATTGGTCATATTCCTCACACCAACCTGTTGAAAGAATCACCAACCTTATTTTGCACAAATCAATTAAAATAGTCAGCAAGCAAGTCTAAATTGTCTAAATAAATTGCCTACAAAAATAGAAACAAATCTCTAAACATTAACCACTGGCTTTTCAGCATAAAAGCTCCCAATTACTCAAGCATTTTAAAATGACATTTCAATTTTTCTACTGCTAAATCACTTTAGGACAGAATTCAATACAAGCAGGTGAAATTCTGTTTTTAAGGGTATTTGAAAACAGCACGTATTATGTCCCATGTTGTTACTTACTACTTTGAACTCAGAACTTTGGTGGAGATCAATGAAGTTCAAAGTAGGACTTCAATGAAATTGAGATTGCTAAAAATCACATTCAAGTTCAGGCTTGTTCTCAGAAAATCCTAGAACAATCACTTCTACAACCTTTCATGATGGAATATACAACATTTGTAAAATATTTGTGGATATAAACCTATGGCTGGCATATCAGTCAATGAAATGCCAAAGATATCTAAGTTGGTAAAATCTTAATTCTAGTCCATCAGTTTCATGTGTACAAAATATGTTTTAGATGAGATCTTTCCACATCAGCTTCTGATACTAGCAGGAAGCTTTTAACTTGACTTTATAAAGTTTATTTTGATAATCTCCTTTTGGGAAAGAACAAATAGGTTCTACTTAATGAAATGTGAGTTAACTTTTTTAATGCTTGGACACTGTCAACCTATTCATGGTATCCAAAGGACACTTTAAAGTCCTAAATAGCAATGTTTAACTTACAAAACACAAAAATTATTGGGGTACAAGGAACCTCGCAAGGTTAACTGGGATACCAGGAAGGCTTATACAAGAACACAGAAGGCAAACAGAATTACAAAAATGCCCAGGACATATACTGATCTCAGGCCGATTAATGGCAGGAATCCAGTGTACCCCAGTAATCAAATAAGAGAGGGGGTTTCTTTCAGAGTTGCATGTTTGTCAGTCCAATGTGGAGCAGAATTAAACCCCTATGGTAAGTTTTTTCCTGTTGTAAAATGAACCTCTGTAGTGCTTCTACTTGCAGAGTTGCTGTTCCATACACATAGCGATGTACAGGGATAAAACTGTAATATAGAAGAATTGTTGCAGAACACACAAATAGATTACTGTTACTATAAAGGTAAAAAGGAATTTATCAAACAGGCAAATTATTTATCCTATTTTGAAGTGTCTCTGGGCATAGAAGGGAACTCAGCATTTGTGTTTCATGGCTTCACTTTATCATTCAATTGTTGTAAAAAAATTAATAATGGATTATCTGCGATAAGAAAAAAGATGGGGAAAAAGGGAAAACATACACATGTTATACATAGAAGACATTATCTTTACCAATATCCTGTGAATAAGGTCCAGAAAAGGTGAGATAAAGGTCTTGCTTGAAAGCACCTTAAACGGGATGAAAAACTTACATCACCAGAAATGTCCGTCTGAGACCCTGCATCCAAAGTTTGTCTTGATAGAGATAGCTGAGAATGTGCTGGGCTGCATCTCAAATCTTGTTCTGATCTGCCAATAGTTTGGTCAAGGAGGAATCTCTCTCTCAGCTTTGCAAGACTCTGAAAAAAGGCAGAATGTTTCATTATTTTATTATAAATGTTCAACACACTATAAACATTGCACAGATGGAAAGGATAGAGGTCCAAAATGTTTATGTCAATGCTTTAATATTCTTTCCCAGCCTAGTGCTCCATATGTTTTGGACTACAATCCCCATTAGTCCAGCCAGTATGGCTAAAGGCCAAAGATGATGTGTGCTGAAGGCCAACATATCTAAAGGTCACCAAGTTGGGGAAGCCTGCTTTACTAGTTATTTAGGAAACACTCTCAATTCAAGGTCATCTTTGAGTTAATGAAAACACTATGCATAACAAAAATGTATTTCAAAAGGGCAAGGTGAGAAACTATGATTACCCAAATAAATAAATAAGCAACCACCCTTTACCATCCAGGACACAAATGGCATGAAAATACCTGCATTAAATTTTGCTTCTCTTTCTCACCAGAACTTATAGCCTTTCTGATAGACTTCATTTCATTTACAATGGCTTTGGCTTCACTTAGTTCATACCCACTCTGGCCTCCAGACATTTTTTGGTCAATTCTGTGAAAAAGAAACACTAGTGTTAACTGTAGAGAAATGTTGTTCTTCACATTCGGGAGGAAATCGTATTGCAGGAAAGGAAAAATGAGTAATTCTAGAAATATTATTTCTCATAGCAAAATATCTAGCTACAATCAAAACAAAGAAGTTCTTTAATTTTAGCAAAAGTACACTTCCAAACTCTGCCTTTCATGTCCAAATCTCTCTTCAATTATTTCTGCACCATCACCACCCATAAAAAGCAGCTCCATTTTAAAGCAAAACTCCTATAGATTCTGCTTCAGGAATTCAACAGCACTACTGAGATCCTGTACAATTATCTAATTGGCTTGGGAAAGACTAAAATCATTTTGAAATTGAGGCTGCACACTCATACGGAAGCACACTCATCCTATGCACACTCATACGGAAGCACCTGTGTAGCTGTCCTTCCTTGTTAGATGGAGCAGTCACATTTCTAGGTGGGGCACTGCAGTAGGGGGCACATAGTGCTGGTCAATCTCCTCCGCTCACTGATGGAAAGGATGTGAAGGCCAGGCCAGGAGAATAAGCAAGTTGTGACTTCCCCTTGCACACCTCTTCTGTGCGGAGGGTTCACATGACATGATAAGCAACCATTAATTGTTATCATTGTTGGTCTGCCATGTTCTCTGAACCCAGTCATGGTGACTAGCCCTTATGATTTATCATTGTTGCCAGCTATGATAAGAGACAATGGGCTACACAATGGTTTGTCCACACCATGATTATTTGTCATAATGTCCAAAGCAAGGAGGGCTGCTTTATTTCTGAAGGTTCAAGAATCATGAAATCACAGGGTGGCAAAACAAGCAGTCAGTTGAGTCATCCAGCCTCTATTCTCGCTGTCTGCCTAGCAACACAGATGTTGCTGCTTGCTTTGCTTGACAGGCTTTCCTCTCTTATGAGGAGTAGTATTTGAGCAGTTAAAGGGAACATGTATTGAAGTACTGAAGTTGTTACAAAAAAGAAAACTCAAACATTATTATATTCCCTTGTAGGAATATTCCTTTAGAAAGAGACCAAAAAAAGCATGTTGTCTTTAACATAGCATACAGAAGAGCACAACTCTGAGGTAACTAGTTAATTAAAAAATCTTTTAATTGTAGGCTGGTTTTTACTTTTACAACCAGAATACCAAAAACTATCTTTAATCTTCTTTCAAAGTGAAGTATGCTCTTAATAGACGAGGAACAGATTACAATTGGAAAACATGGTATGAAGGTGTGTGTGGTGTGAGGGAAGAGGAGAGGAGGTAATTGGGTTGTAAATAGAAGGCTGGAAAAATGAAGCCAAGAATAAACTGTGGCAGAGGGAAGGTGTGAAAAAGATCTACTTCTGACTTGCAACACGAGTGAGATGCAGGATAGATGGGACAACTGCTAACGATGCAGGGATACAAGGGTTAGAGAAGAAGTATGAGAAGAAGTATGAGAAGTGTGGTACTAAGTGGAGCCAGGCACCAGGTGGGAGAAGGGCTGTAAATAACTTTCACCTGTCTCCTAGCTAAAATGGAAGTAGAAGAGGACAAGAGAGGTTTTGGTGCCAGGCAGCACAGTGAACAGAGGGTGAGTTGGGGTGGGTGCCAAAAGCTGTTGTTTGGACTAGGGGCACCAGGAAGTGTGAGGGAAAGGCTATAACATGTAAATTGTTGTCCTCATTGGTGTGACAGGGAGACACCTAGGGAACTGTGTGGCTAATGGGGAGGGATAAAAATCAAATAAATGTCAGACCAGATGGGAACAAAGGCAGAAAGAAGAAGGGAGTGCAGTAAAGGTGTTTCTGATGGGCAGTGAAGTTGGGGGGGGGGGTTTAGGAGAAAGTCATGCTATGGTTTGTATTAGAGGCACACGGAACAGCTATGTGGGGGTGAATGGGGGTATCTGTGGTGACAGTAGGGTGAACCGGGTAGAAGTGACACAGGTGAATCACAAGGCAAGGAAGTTTTTTTTTTTTTTTTAACAATAGGACAGACATTGAAAGGGATATTCATCTGCTATGAGAAAGGGGAAAAGAGGTTAAAAATGCCTGCAGGAGGTGGAAAATGGGAAGCACCCAGCAGACCAATCACAAACAGGTGCCTTCTTGGAGAGGGACTGATAGCCCTGGAGATGCAGGCCTAGAGGGGTGGTAGGAATGGTTGCAAAGATAACCACTGTAATGACCTGAAACAGTAACAATTGTGGCAACCATCCAGCTTTGTTTGTTGTCACCTGCAAACCTTATCAGTGTGTTAATTGACATAATAGGCTATATAAAGGGATTAAATGAATGGCATAGTTTATTTTGTAAGAAAAAGCAATATCAAAGATTCTGTGAACAAGCAGATACCACAAGGTGCAAAACAAAATAGTTTGTTATAGTTTGGAAGCTAAAAACTTGTGTGTAGGTTATATTCCACAAATTTAATTTTAATCTTGTAATACAACACACCATTATAAATTCTATCAAACAAAACAAGAAACAAGTAAGAGCCATTATGATTGTGAGCATCAAAAGTAATGGGTGACTTAAGGTAGATTTTTTTTCCAGATAGCTTTGAGTTATCTTTTTACTTTACCCTTTAGCAATAAGCATCCAATCTTGCCCTACTTTTTGTAATAACTGCAGAATAAACAAACCATTCTTACTACAGGAAAGCATACACATATCTTCACTGATGGCTGGATACAGAACATAGTTGAAATAGAAACTGAAAAGCAGTTCAATGGGGTAAGGTCTAACTCTATAACACAAAGTTTTAATATTTAATTCTTCAAGAATCAAGTTACTATTGAGGCTCTTTTTTCAGAATCTTAAGTAATTATTGGTTGCAACCATGGAAAATTGATTGTTATCATGAAAAATCCATCCTTAGTCAGGGAATATCCTGAATAAGCAGTGTTCTGCAGGTTCTTTCAGATGAGACTTTTGATATGTTCTTACCGTTACTTATACCTTGAATTTTTCAGAATGTCTTATTTTCAAACTCTTCCTGTTCTTTAAACAGGCTGCCATATTTTAAATGGAGGCTCTCATTGTCTGTCATGTTGTAATTTTAAAAAGGAAATTTTCCAAAAATTAAATCCTAGAGGGTCAAGCACACATCTGAGTTGTGGAAGATACCAATTCTCCCACCCTGGATGCAGGGCTGCATGAAAGTAAATCCTACTGAATATGGTGAAACTTACTGCTGAGTAGGCTTCATAGGATGTTGTTTACAGAGGTATAAATGGATAAACATACAGCAGCACCAGTTTGTCTTTTTACTGCTGCTCATCATAAGTAAAGAAGGGAATTGTTCAGTCTTTAGATTTTTCTTCTCTCGTCTCATTTGTATTCAAAACTACATGATTTTTCACAAATTAAGAAGCTATTCTGAAGAAAATATCTTGCCAAGAAACTATGAACTAAAGTATATTTGCATTCTCATTCTTCTAATTCTAGCTTTCCCTAGGCATAACAGCTGTTCTGTATCCACATGTGAGTCAATGAGATTCCACCTGGCCCCAAAACAACTATCAGGGTAAGTACCACAGCATATCATGGAATAACTCATATACATAATAAAATCTTTCTAAAGTCCACAGCAATTTTTAAAGAATGCAATAATTCTTGCAATTTGTAGGTGGAAGTCAATAATCCTAAAATGGATCTAGTGCTCAACTTCAGACTGAGTAACTTGGATCCTAATCTGTACTAAACCACACAGATTTGAGCCCTATTCAGCAGAGGTAAATGAATACATCTCTTTACAAATGTCTATAGTGTCCCACCTGCAAAGTGCATCTAGGTACAAAACACACATTACTTAAATCCTCTGTCCAGATCAGGACCGTTAGTTATGCATGTGAGAGGGATGGGGTTAAGATCTGGACTGGGATGCTAAAAATGGAAGAAAATGCTAAAATGGAAGAAAATGGAGCTGCTAAGTACTCATTTAAAGTAAGATATCTTTTGGCCCATAGGAATGAATGCAGAAAGGACTGCAAAGCACTTTGCACATTACAAGTGCTAGAAAAAATATTTTTAGGTATTCATGTCTAGCTATAGTGCATACTTTACAAAGGAACAATTTAAGAAAACCCTAGGAAAAAATTAAATAGTTATTTATCTTCAATATTGTCTCTTGCCATTCAGCAGGAATACTTTCAAATTGGTTTGCATAAAAAGGTAAACACTACCGTAATATCTAAAGATCAGAATTAAAGCAAGAAAAACAGTAGTCATATACAAGCAATTAAAATGCTGTGCCTTAACAAAATAAAAAGGGAAATAGTATGCTTAGAGGGCACAATTTGTGAGGTGCTCCCCCCTCAACTTTTATCTCCCATCATTTTCAGTTGCAAATTTGCTTTCTAAGAGAAGGATGCATAAGCACTTCAAAAGTAAGAAACAATCTTCAAGCACCATGTACATATGGTATCTTACACAGAATACATGCAGTGCTGATAGTGTTTTCTTGGCTTTGACATTAAACTGCCAGCTTAAAAAAGGACTCTAAAATTATCAGTATAATTTTTCATGCCTTAGAATTCTTTGAAGGGAATTCATTTTTGCCCAAGGAATATAGAAAGATGGTAGACAACCTGATATATGTACAGGCAGTGAGAACATTATCTGATAAGAAACTATTTAAAAAGGTGGACCCAGGTTCATACAGAGGGGGTAACAAACTGCTCCTATAGAAATCCATGGCAAGACTCCCAGTGATTTTAATTAGCACCACTGCACCCAAGATGTGCCCATGGTATCATGTTAAAATATGCTAAAAGCCTTCATTCAAAGATTCAACAAGTTATGTGAATTTAGGCTATTACAGCTCTAAAACTCAAAGGCATATGTATCCTTCCTCAATATCCCCTATTTCTCCGTTTGTGTCTTCCTCCAAGATTCTGCCTCCTCACTGACTGCATTGCCCTCATTTCCTTGAATCACAGTATATCTCACAGTTGATTTTGTAGGCACCTGATTCTTTTATCTATCATCTACTATTATTACTATTCCATTGCATTCATAGCCTACCTTTTTTTCTCTTGGCTATGTAAGGTAGCTTACATAGCTCCATTTTATCCTCACAGCAACAACCCTATAAGGTAGGTGACTGGTCCAAAGTCATCCAGTGAACTTCATAGCCACGTACAAACTAGAACCTGAATCTCCAGGGTGTGTAGTCCAACACTCTAACCACCGCACCACACTGGCTCTCTTTCTTCTTTCCAAACAAGTAGGATCAAAACTACTGGCAAGGGCCCTTTTGAACGTGCAAATAGCTGGGAAAGACTTTATCGCCACAACAAAATCCATTAGCCCACTATGGATAGCAATTATTACCAGTCAGGGAGAGCCATTTGTGAAGAAAAGGAAAATGGCATGCCTATTTAAAAGAAAAAGATGTTCAGCCTAAATTTTTCATGAACAGATTTCTCTTACTCTAACCTTTATGCTTACAAGGACTGTGTTTGAATGTAATGCTAAATTATGATTAATATGAATGAACCTCAACCTTGGGAGTCACCCCTTCATCCCCTGTTGTGCCCACAAGGAGGAGTTCAAAAGTTTTTGTTTCCTGTTTTGCTTCCACAATTGTTGATGGAACAATCTAGTTGGACACTACAGTCAACATTTCAGGCCTTCCTCTGAGTGCCAACTCTGAAGGAAGCTTGGGGGGCAGTAACAAGAGGAGGGCCTTTCTCTGTGGCGGCATCGCAGCTATGGAATGACCTCCCTGCTGTGGCTTGCCTGGCTCCAACTTTGTGCTCTTTTGGGCACCAGGTTAGGATAAGATATACTTGGTTATCCAGGGTTTGGGGGAGATTACCCAATGTTTTTCTTATGCAGAATCAGTCTTCACTATATGTATGTTTCATTGTTTTTTTTTCTCCTGATAAGATTTCATGGTATTTTATTGTATTGCTTTTATGCACTCGTTTTTTGTAAACTGCACAGAGAGCTTTACCTATTAGTGAAGAAATTAATTAATACAATTCATAGAAATGAATGAAATGAATACATAATAACAGTATTAATTATTATTCATAGTATAGAAATGAAGCTATTGTTATTTCAGCTAGTTTGTTGCTATGTCTTGATCTAGCTAAACATAGCCACTCCCCAGGTGGTTAGTCTTAACTACAGTTAAGTATTATGTCTGAATCCTGCCAAAAAAATACACCAAGAACCTCTTTCTGCTATGGACAGCAAAGCTTTATACTCCCTGACCACATTTGAAGTTTGCCACCTTGCTACCAAAAGACAGTAATGGTACACAAAAGCAAGTGACATGAATGAGAGATCTTTCAGCACACTGCACACTCGCTGCTTTAGAGTATGATGATTCAGTTTTAAGCTGCAACTATTTTTATAACATGCATAGCAGAAATAAATAGTTCTCCAGGATGTACAATATTCTGACTCCCTGCTTTCAATAAATGGAATTAATGCTAGCCAAAAACTGGCTGTCTGAATATTTACAACAAATGTCCATTGTTTGCTTGCAGTATGCTGCTGAAAGTTTCCCAAACGTGCTTTAGATTCCTATCAAAATTGCTTGCAAGCAAGTTGCTTTAAAACAATGGTTCATTGTTACATTAAAGCAATATAACCAGTGTGTTTGGCTAACATTTAATCTTGTGATAGTAGCAGAAGATTTTATGCTTCAGATCATAGTTTAGTTTTCACTTAAAAAGTATGCTTTAAGTGAAAACTAAACTATGGCCCAAGAAGTTAATTTGTCCACCCTCCCTCACCATTTATTTACATTTTAAAGATTTGCTACTATGAATGGTGTATAAACTTTCATTCCCTTCAGCTTCAGTGGGGTGGTGAATCTTTCTTGCACCATGTTGAATCACAACAAGATTTAAATTCACAACTACTTGTAAAGGCCCATCACTAGTTCAACAACCAACAAACTGAATTCTCAGATTCTCAGGCTGCAAGAAATATGTTCAACCTACTCCCAAGTGAACATATTTAAGTGTGAGCTGTAAATTCTAAATTTGTAATATAGCACACCTGATGCTTCATTATTAATATTTCGCCATGTGGCCAATTTAGACTTCTTTCTTCCTCTTCAGGGCAGAGCTATTTGTCAACTAGGTGCTCACACTATACATGTTTATAGTTTACTTGGTGCAGGACACTGTGAGAATTCATATTCGGGAATAGAAATCTATTGGCAATAGATTGGGACAAAAGTATCATAGCGCATCTCCAGTCCTGGACATATTCATGCTTTTGGGTGGTATAGAAATGTAATAAATGACAATAAAGTTCAAATTCTGCTTTGAATATTTCAGCTTTTGCACTATACCATGCCTTTTCCCATGACAGTAGCACAAGTAATAAGGGTCTGATCACCCATCAAGGCAGGGCAGGGAAACATGTGGCCTCCATCCACTGGGCCATCTCACCCCAGAAAAAAAACAAACAAGCAAAAGCATTTAATTAATTAAACATTAATTAATTATCTGTCTGTGGGGGCTACAGGGGAAAAATGCCTCCTGGATCTCCCAAAGCTGCCCACCCCCATTTTGAGTCCTTATGAAGCAGTTTTCTTATTCTAAAGGTTTTCTTTGTAAATGGATGCAATGATTTGGTTCTAACCAGCAGCCTGAATTATTTAAGTCAATTTCAATTATTTTCTTATACTCACTGTTGCAATGTTTCATAGCCTTGCTCCTTATATAGCAATTCTTGCTTCATCTGCAAGAGTTCCCTCTTCAGCTTTTTAACCTGTGATGCAAAAACACAAGATTCAACATCCCTTTTGAGACAATAGACTATATAATTTGGAATAATTAACGCCTTTATATGTTAGCAAATAAATACACCAAACAATGATATTTCATTCTTGACTGGTTATAGAATCTGTTTGTAGTACTTTTTAGATACTACAACCATTTAATGAAGTATCACTGGGGATCACCTTATTATATTTTGTATGTAAAATCCCTTGCTCCCCAAGCCACACACTGCCTGGTTTTGAAAAAAAAAAACATGGTATACCAGGAGGGAAACCATGGTTTGTAGTTAGTTTGCAGTCATAAAATACAGTTGAGAGTTACTAGAGTTTGAATGGATTTAGATGTAATGCTAAATCATCGCTAGTTAAAAAATAAAAGCAAAAGTGCCTGATTCTGTTACTGTAACACAGTAAGAGATGAAGTGAAGGGTGCTCAGAAGGCTAAGGTTTTTTTCACTTAGGCTGTCTAAGCAATCTCAAAGGAAAACATGATTCTGGAACTTTCTAATTAGCTACAATGTTTTTTGCAGCCTGTGCTTTATCACAAAATTGCAATGTGGGTAATGAAAATATATTGTAAAATTATTGATTCCCTCTATCTTTGACCCTTTCCAGTCAAATAAGGAAAGATTAAACACTATTTCTAGGGGCCTTTCTTTCATGACTATGCTTGTTCTTCAAGATAGGTTCATAAATTATATGATGATTAGTGGATCTCAGGGTGACATGAACTGAACTTCGAGAGAGGTAACTGCATTGGTGATTCCCTACCTCCTTAAGAGTCCACAGTACAGAATACTGTTGCATATGGGGCTGGGAGAAGCTACAGTCAGAATTCCACGTATTAAGAAATTTTGCATGCCTGGAGCAACTCCCCTGGTGCCCTATCTAAACCCTCCCTCCTCTACAAGTCACCACCTTCCTGGGCACTGCTGTTGTGTAATGTGCATTCCCAAACAGCCCTGAAATCCACATTAAGCAGAGTCCCTTCCATACCTCACAGATAATCATTAGCAGTTCAATTTGCTCCAAGCTCCCAGCAATAAGACTAATTTCAAGCAATGGGCTCAAAAGAATAATCTTCAGGATATTAGCCTTGTAACTGCCAGCAAAAATCACTAACTCACAGAACTGTTTTCCTAGCCTGATGTAAGTCTACAATCTTGCAACCATTTGCTGGCTATGGAAGAAGGGGAGCTCTGGTTTCCATAAACTTCTTGGAAACACAGACTTCTAGTTTCTTCATAGGTTAGGGGATGTTTTGCTTTCAAAAGCCTTCTACCTAGCAGGAGGTGAAGGAGAGATCCCTCCTCTGCTAATTTCAGCCTTTCTATACTAGCCACAGAGAAATGGGCTTTCTTCTACTGCAGCTAGCACAGAAACCAAGTTAACAGAAAAGCTATTCCCCTGTCAGCCTTTTCACTCACCCGCGTAGAATCAAATGCACTTGCTTGAACTGAATTGCTGTTTGATTATGGCTAGCAAGAATATTGTCAATTCCAAGGCTGTTCTCTCTATATATGTATGAATATATCTCAAGAGAAGCAGAGATGCTTCAGGAGTTGTCTGGTTATGTCAACACTAACAATACTGTGAGTGATGCCACAGCAGATGAAATGAGGTTTATACTAAAATTCTACAGGAACCATTTTACTTCTTGCCCTTTACACATGCAGGATTGTAGACTACATGTTCTGAGCAAATAAAATATATTGTGAAAAACTGGATGTCTCTGCAAGTGGGATTGTTCAGAAATGCAGGCGTTAACACTAACTGTTACACAGCTGATTCAACCTATCTGCAGAGGCTTAGTACAACCACCAAATACCTGAGTGTGCTTGTGTATGACTGTCCACTTTCTATATGCAGGGATATTTTCCAGTGTGGAGCAAATATCAGTTGCAACTGCATGACTGTCCTCTAATCACAATATGCATTTTCAGTGGTAAAGTACCTCTTCTTGAGGACCAAAGCAAGTCAGTAAGAACTTGACTTTGTAAGCTTTGTTTATGCCTCCCAGTACCTTCAAACACATTTACCAAGGGTGCTAGTGTATACATACCCAACTTTAACATCCCAGCAATCAGCAGATCCTGCACAGGTACGTACATATTGGCTAGGGCACATAACTATTTAATAAGTATCACAGGAAGGGCAAATGCAATGCTTTCACAGGGCTTCCCCATATGCTCAGCCCAAAATGTTTGAATTGGAGTAATTTTTACACTGATATACTGTCTAATATTTCAATGAAATCTCGAGATGGTTTCAAAAACATCAATAATGCAAGAGTTTGTTATATGTTATAACATATCTCTAGAATTGTTAGTCCTCGTTAGTGTTTACATACTATATAAATCAGTTAGCTTTTACAGGAAAAACAGGCAATTTCTACTCTTGGATATGCAAGCGCTTACTAATGTGGTGTGAACTAATAGTTCATAAAAGGACTAACTGCTCTGAAAAGAGTAGTATGTGTGCCAGCGTTCCATTTTGTCTGCTAGCAGTATCTCTCATTTTCAACACTACCAGCCTTGCTATCACATATAAATAAGCCCTTGTTAGTATTTGTTGAACACAAAGGAATTCTATCTTCCTCTTGATGTTCATGAGAAAGTAACTAACATAAGAGACATGCCAGATTACAAGACACCTCTTTATTTGGATAACCTCATTACAGTAATTAAACTTGAAATCCACATTTACTTGCTAAGTTAATTTGTCATTGGCTGTGTGTGCACGCCACCTGTTCTTATTCAAAAGCAATAGTGCCTACACACACAGCAAGAGAAAGAGAGAGCAGACATGCATGAATTGGAGGAGGATTCCCAAATGCCACTTTGGGGATAGAATCAGGGTGAGGAGGGAGAGGGTTGAGTATCACAATTCAATAACTCAGGAACCAGGAATCTGCTCTTTGAAAGTATAAATTATACATGTATTGCATTTCTTAAAAATCCTAAAAAGATTCCCAAACTTTATAGCATATAGCTCTATATACAGGCAACAGGCAGGAACAAACCCTAAACCAAGTACTACTTTTCTTATGGACACCACTGATGTCCATAAACCATGTATTTATATGTGTGCATTGCTAGCAAATGTTTAATTTGGATACATGGGGATTTCAGTGCCTTGTTAGAAAATATCTGAAAGGGCACACAATAGGTTCTACGTGTTTTCCAGCAACTCTCAAATTAAGCATTCTTACCCTTAATCTTGTAGTAGAGATTTCCGCCTTCAGAATATCAGGGTCATACTTAGTGCTGGAAGAGCAGCTTGAGAATACTTATTAGGAAAATTAAAGGGAGGAAAAGCAAGGGAAAAGACAGCCAGTTAGGAAAGCATTCTATCTTTTTATCCTCAAAATGTTGCTCTAGATGTGCCACATTAACTTTAGATAGAAATATATTTAACACATCACTTTCTTGCAATGCATTAAACTTGTAGCATAAATACAACAATAATTCAAACTATTTTTGTTTCTTTCATTTAGATCTTGAATATTAAACAAATGATACATGAGTGAAAGTTTCACATGAGAATGAGCAACTTGCTTTTAACTTAGTTGCAAGCTCCTGTTTAGAAAATGTATCTTGACTCAGGTTTTAACCAATCAGATACACCTACACTCTTGATTTGCTTCACAACTAGATGGGTCTGTCAGGGAAGCTTAATTTTGGTTTATGAACCACTCTGTCAGCCCATGGCTTGTAGCTGGATTTGTCTGACCCAGAAATGGTTGTTGTATTGTCTGAACCTGGATGACATGGTCCATTGTGGGACAAATCCAGTGACAAGCAAGTTACTTGGCAAGAGTGGCAAAACCCCCTTACCATTTTTGTCAAGTGGCTGGCAAACCCTTCCTCCATTTCCCACCATAAACTCTTTCAGGCTTGTTGTAGCTTGACTTTTTTTCCTTTTCCCCCTTTGTTCTTTTGCTTTTTAGGGTTGTGAAAGATAGAAGAAAAGTTGGCTTTCACATTTCCTAAAGGGCATCAACAAACTACCTCTCCAAGGGGCTGCTCAGTACCTTAGAGGAGCTGCTTCTGATTGCTTCCTTGTTAATTTGTTGCTGCTGCTGCTTCTGTTCTCATAATGTGCACAAATATTTGTGCTTATTTTTTAAACCTGCTATGCCAGATTTGAAGACATAGAATAGTAGAGTTGGAAGGGCCCATGAGCCCCTCAAGCCCAATTCCCTAGTCTGTGCAGCTTATCTGCAGCACTGTACATGATGGCTACCTGCTGGATTTGGCTAGCAGGCACACTCTGGCAAGTACCTATCCTAGGGATGCCCTGCACTAATCTGTATTGCTGACATGACATGTTAAAAATACTGATGTGCACAATTATTTGCATACATTATTGGAACAAAAAAATAAAAATGGGGGATGAACACAAGCAGCCCCTCCAAGGAACAATGGAGGTTCCTTGGAGAGGCAGCTCATGTATGTCCAGAAGGAGATAATAAAGGTAGCTTGACAGCCTACACGGATGTTCTCCAAGAAGAAAAATGAAAGGGAAGAGTCAAGCTGTGGCAAACCAAAAGTGGTTCATGGCAGGTGGTGCTCCCGTGATGTCCCTGGGATAGCTCTGAGAAGACTAAAGTGGGGAGGAGGTAGACAAGGACCCATGATGTGCCCTATATTCTGTCATCATGGGATCGCAGGGGATCTACGTGCATCGTATGGCTTGTTCCACAAGGTGACTTGCCATGACCTCCAAACCAGCCTATTATGTTTCCCTCTCCCCCCTTTTGTTTTGTCTTAAGAATAGCAGTTTCAACAGCTAAAGGGTGTTTTGACAGGACAGATTTGGCTGGCACATATAGAAACATATGTTCCAGCTGCTGTTTCAAAAATCCCTTTTAAAGGTGATCCTGTCGGAACTCCTCTTCACCAGAAGAATGGGTAGGATTCATTTTCTTACTTGCCCAAGCAGCTCTCAGTGCAAATAGACAAACTCTAAGGATATTGCCGTGAAGGTGGTATAAATTACACCACCCCCTTTTTGCAAGTAAAGATCACTTCTGCCTTTGGCTCTTCTTGACAAAGTGCCTTTTGATAGCTATCAGGATAAACCAAAGCGGGGGGGGGGGGGGAGCCTATTTCAGGCCACTTTGGATCAATGATCAGACATTTATACCTGCTACTTCTTGGCGGAATGTATCCCTAGCACATTATTCCAGCTGAAGTTTCAAATTCCTTGACCTGTGCAAGTGCAAATGTCTACAGTCGTGCAAGTGCAGCTAAAACAATCAAACAAACCTATCTGAGTATACTTTGTATCAAAAATTAAAGGATCACCCAAGCACTGACAAGGTGCTGCTCAGGTAGTTTGATGAGGCTATCAAAAGACAGAACCTAAAACACAGCTGTCAATCCAGTTTGCATGGTCCAGCTCCTTCCCCACAAAAAAGTTAAAGTGAAAAATAGTTGCAGGGAGCCAAAACTGGCTCTCAGTAAGGAGAGATGATTCAGTCTTCCCATGGTCTTCCCATATCTTCCTGAAGAACTAAGGAAAAAAGAGTGGGGAAGGAGGAAATGCACAACTAAAAATGTGTCAGTTGAGAACACCATGGGTGTTCACAGAACAACCAGCCCACTAGAGCATATTGTCAGGGTGAGTTATGTTATGCAAACCTGCCCAGTGCCAGAACCTTGTTCCTAGGTTGGATCCCTGTTCACCAATACCTTGAATTTGCTTTGCACTAGACCTAACTTAATGGGAGGGAGTTCATGTTTTATGTTTTAAGGTCTAAGACTGATCCAGGCATCTACTTTTCAAAGTACTGGAAAACTGTGTTCCAGGTGGACTGCTGGCCATGGGTGACTTGTACTATAAAGGCAGTGCTTTTATTGTTATGATTTGGCTTCAGATACACAATGGAGAAAAGAAACCTCTAGCTTCGCTTCAAATACTACAAAAAGTATAAAAGACCTTCCTTTTCTTTATCTATAAAGCTGAACTTTAAAAAGGCCAATAAGTCAAGAGCCTCTAATTTACCCTCTGAGAGATTGTTGCAACCACATGAACTACTAGATTTCAAAACCATTTGCTACAGCTCATGGCATTTGAAGAAGGCTTAGCTCAGCTAGGGCAGGTCACAAATATTTCTGAGAGATCATCCAGGTGTCTGTCTCTTGAATTGAAGAAGGAAACTAAGAGATACCTAAAGGAGGAGGACCATTATGGCACTTATGCTAGTTTCTCAGATACATACAGCTTGTATGAGAGCTTGATTTCTCCTTGTAAGCATCATTTAACCGCACATATTCATCCAAAGCAAGGGCCAGTCTTTGTTCTTTCACATAATACAGTTCTTTTTGAGTGATGAGTGCATCTTGTGCTACTGTAAGATAATCTTTTAGCATTTTCTCTTGCTCTTGCCGCCATTGTTTTCTTGGATCTTCTATCTGTGTGGTTTCTGTAGAAATAGAGATGAAAAAGCTTTCATTTAATTAAATAAAAGTTGTCAAGCTTAACAAACCCAAAGTCATTAATTTTCAACCCTGCACAAATACAGGACTAAATGTCCACTTCTAATAATCTGCATCATTTTCTTCAGTTTCTCTTTGCCATCAAATGTGCATATTTTTACCAACTGACCTCACTTGCCTGCCTTGAAATTTCTGTATGTTTAGCAATCCTACTTACTACTCCCTAGCCCTCATAAACATCTGACAGCTAGCAACAGAAATCAGTAGACAGAAGCAAAAAGTAAAAGTGAAGTGGGAGTTCCTGAAAGCAACTGGTGGCTGCAGGACAGAAGAGGTTTTAGAGTATTAATTCAAAAAAATGTGAAACAGCTTTAAAAATAAATGGGTGTTCACTAGCACTGAAGGGAAAGATGAACTTGACAAGGATATTGACAAGGTGGGGATATCAGTACGGTTGGCTTAATGGCAGATAGGTAGTCTTGCACACTTGCAAGACCCTGCCAAAAATTGCAAACATATTCACACATTTATAAGAACTCACAAAATTATTTCCTATCTGCAAATTGATGTGGTATGAAGGAGAGTTTTGTTCAGGAAACACGAAAATGAAGGATGAAATTGACAAGCCTTTGACAAAAGCAAGTTTTGTCCTATGTTGTACTCAGCAGTGGATTGGTAGCCTTGTGGTCCTGCATACTTGTGCATGATTTTTGTTTGCAAATGCATTCCTGTATTCATGAGGGCTCTTAAATCCTTGGCAATCTGATGAAGGAGTGGGTAAAGTTCCTCATGAGCTGGCATCCTCAGCAGATAAATAGCAAAAAGAGTGATGAGTAGGGAGGAAGGAAATGAGGATTTCTGCTGCAAAATAAAAGGATATATGCCAACTGTAACTGGGAAGGGCTGAGGAAGAAACAAGCTATAGCAAGCTGCAGAGCAGGAAATTGTCTGGAGTAACCGCCAAGCCACCCACCCACTATGTCTTATTCTAAGGGTGGTTTAGCATTGATGTGCAAACTGACCCAGAGAGGAAGAGACCACGTAACAACTAGCTAACATTAGCAAATTTTCCTGTAGGGTTTCTTGTCGCAGTAGCCACCACCATTGTGAATAGTCAAGGCATAGTGAGGACACTCTGTCCCTTGTTTTATATGAGAAATCAAGAAGGATCTGTTGCTGAGGTGACTGACAGGTTATCTGCACCCTAAAAAGGTCACAGGTTCTAGGTTGTCAAACACCCCAACAATCTACCTTCACAAAGTTCACATATAAAAAACAGCTATGGCATTCCCCCTCCCACAGCATGAATGTTTAAACTGACAGCCACTGCTGTGACAAGAAATCCCACTGGTGAATTTACCCACAGTAGCTTCTTGTTTCATGCAAACCAAGTGAGTGATTTGCAAAAGCATCCCTGTCCCTTAATTTAGATTGGTGCCTCTCTGAGAGCACAGCAATCCAAGATGTACTAATCCAAGTGGCTCCACTAGCACTGCTATACAATTGTTTATTATATTTGTTACTCAGGTAATACAGAAGGACAGGAGAATGAGGACAAACGGGAGGGACCACACTACAGTAAACTCAGCAACCAATTTTATTTTGCTAAAAACGTCAGTGCAGCAGGTGGTATTGGAGGATCTCTAGTAGTTTTTTGTATCCCATCTGTTTGCTTCCAGTCATTGGTATTTCAAATGAAAATAAATAGAGGAGACAACACATTTCCCTCTCCTTTACCTGAAAAAGTCTACTGCAGTGGAAATACAGATAGAAAGCCTAAACTGAGTGGAAAATCTGCAATTTTAACATCAGACTTAACATGTTCAGATATATACCATTGCAGAAGACACTATTAAAATTTAAAGTTGCACAATAAACATTTTCCACTATTAAATTAAAAATGAATGCTATCTAAATTAAACTTATTCAGTGTAACCAGAAACATCCATGTGTTGCACAAAAAGCTACACAGATTTCTCTGACATCACTACGTCATTAGAAATACAAGGCAGCACATCCACACTCTTCCACCTCGGTAGTTTTATTTAAAAAGTCAGAAGAGTGCTTAAACTCTTGGGGAATTTCAGATTCAGATTTGCAAAAGATTTCAGTCAATGAGTTCAATTTAAGTTGATGAAAGGTGCTACAGTGTATAGCTCTTATACCATACTTTACATCTTCAAAGCTCTCTAGGAAAACATTAATCCAAGCTACTGATTTAAGTTCTTCTCGCTCCAACAACATTAGTTACATATCCCTCACTAAGACACTTCTCCCTGCTTTTGCCTACTTAAATTATCCAGAGCAAACAGTAACTCAAATGCGCCACAATAGGGACTTTAAACATATGTTTGGATAGCTTCTGCTGTAGCAGAGGAAAGTCCCTAGTGGTAGCAATTGCCAATAATGCTTGATAGTCCTACACATTTAATCTTTCTAGTGCTACATTTTGATGTGAATTCAAGAGGCAAGTGAAATTGAGAAAGTACCTTTAAAAATGAGAGAATCAAAATGCCTCCCATGTGCCCCCATAAATTCAAATACATTTTAGGTATGCACATTTTTGCAGAAGATTGCCTCAAAACAAGGAAATAGAGAGAGATTGCACTTTATCATATGCAAGTACTTAGAAGTAAGTCCTATCAAATTTATAGTGTTGATTTCTAAGCGCAATAGGATACTCCTCTGCATAGAAATAACTTCATGTAAACATACTCAGCTTTACATTGTTACCTGCCATACTCCAGAGTGAGCACAAAAGGAGGAAAGGGCATTTGCCCACTAGATATAGGTTAGCATGAGGATTACTAGATACCATGAAATTTAGATCGTAAACAGGATGCTTTAAAACTTCTTGAAATAGTACCCAATCAAGGGCAATTTATATGGATTGGGACCACGGCACAGGAGAAGTGTTTAACAATTTCCCTGTGGTGCTGTTTTCCCAGTTAAATCACTCCTCCCTCCTCTGAATCTGGTATTTGGTCTCTTGGGAAAAACACACATGCACCAGGGCAAATAGCTGTGGCAAGAAGACAAGGTTATTTTACTGGATAAATGAGGGTAACCCCCTCACCAAAGTCTGCTCCAGATCTCCTCCCCCTCCAGTATGTCTGGGTCTGCAAATAAGTTTAAAAAATGAGACCTCTGTCATGAGGGCTGGTATGACCCATTGGGAAATGAAGCCTGAGGGCTCAGATCAGGGAAAATACCGGAAGTGGGGGAAGACTTCTAGTCTCTCTCCTTCAGTTCCTCTCCAGTGCCATATTATTGCCCTCCTACCCACATTTTCTAACTTATTGAGAGCCAGTGTAGTAAAATGGTTAGGGTATCAGAATAGGACTGAGGAAGACTAGGATCATATTCTTCACACATGTATGAAACTCACATATGAAACTTGCTAGGTCAAGATAAAATAAAGATAAGGCAGAAACAGTGTATGGAAGAATTACACAAGAACAGAGAAATAAAGATATGACAGCTGATAAAAGTATGATAAAATATTAGAATATTAGAAAGTGAAGTGAAAATTGTTCTGCAAGTAGCTGTTAGGAATAAAGAACCCATAATGAACTATTTGTAGATCCTGAACTTATCAACAGAACTATTCCAAACTTCAGAGACTAAAACAGTCCAAATCATAAGAACAACAGCCTAACAAATATGGAAAACAAAAAAATGGCCCACAGATTGGAATTGCTTGATATACATTCCAATTCCCAAGAAATGAAATTATGAAGATTATAGGAGCTATAGGATCATTGGACTAATCTCCCGTGTAAGCAAAGTGATGCTCAAAGTGTTGTAACAGAATATTTTACCCTATATGGAGCAAGAAATGCCTGGTGTTCAACCTGGATTATTAAAAAGCCACATGAGATCATATCAAACACTTACACAAGATTAGTCTATCCTTTTAGATTACAGCAAAGCCTTTGACTGCATGGATCATGAGAAGCTATGGGTGGTTCAGAACGAAATGGATGTGCTATGGCATTTGATAGTTCTGCTGTCTAGCCTGAAGCTACAATTAGGGCAGAATATGGAGAAACAGAATGGTTTCCCATAAGCAGAGGCATCAGAAAGGGGTCAATCTGTAAACAGAAGCTGGACTGGTATCAGAAAAAGTTGGAATGGAAATCTATAGAAGATATATCAGTAATCAGAGAGCAGCAATGAATTGAAACAGCTTCTTATGAAAATGAAAAGGTGCAAAAGCAGGAGTTCAGCTGAACATTAAAAAAAGAAAAATCATGACTACAGAAGAATTATACAGCTTTAATGTCAACAAAGAAAAAACTGAAATTGTGAAAGGTTTTATGCACCTTGGTTCAGTCATCCATTTAAATGGAGTGTGTAGGAAAGAAATTAGAAGACTGGGACTAGGAAGGGAAGCAATGAAGGAAGTAGAAAAGATAATCAAGTGTAAGGAAGTTTGATTGCAGACCAAGGCCAAGATCACAAAACTATTGTTTTCCTATTCACTATGTATGGGTATGAAAACTGGATAGTGAAGAAACCTGACAGAAAGAAAATTGATGTGCTCAAAAACTGGTGTTGGCTGAGAACTTTGAAAATACCTTTGAAAAAGACAGACAAGTGGGTTCCAGAGCAAAACAAGCTACAACTGGATGTAAAAATGAAAAAATGCAGGCTGACATACTTTGGGCACATCATGAGAAGGCAAGATGCACTGCAGAAGACAGTGCTGCTAAGGCAAGTAGAAGATAGAAGAGGAAGGGTAACCCCAATTTTGAAATGGATTGATTCCATAAAGGAAGCTACAGCTTAGAGTTCACAAAAGCTGAGCAGGGCTGTCAAGTACAGGACATTTTGGAGTGCATTCATTTATAGGACTGCCATTAGAGATGATTTGATGGCACATAACAATATTCTTATTCTTTCACTGGGTATCCACCTCTGTTTCTCTATGTAGCAGAGAACTTTACTGAAACTAATAAAAGAATTGAAAAAAGGGCATTGGTAG